GAATTAGAAAAAATGGATAGATGGTGTGACGCCTGGCAACTCCAATTTAATGTCGAAAAATGTGGCTGGCTCTGCATAGGTTGCAACAATTTAGAACTTGACCTGACAATTCAAGGCCATGCACTTCAACGACTGGAATCTGTACTGGACCTAGGGCTGAAATATTCACATAACTTATCATTTTCTGAACATATCTCCAAACAAGTGTCAAAGTCACGCAGACTTATCGGCTTTCTACTCAGGAACTTCTACAGAAATGAGTCTAGAATTCTGTTGTACAAGGTTTGTGTGCGTCCTTTATTTGATTACTGTGGCTGAAATTATCCCGCATGCTCAAGGTCATTGATGGAATGAGACGCTCAAAGGTCATTTTCGTCCATGTTAGTCGGTTTTGTTGGATTGCAGTTCCGTAGCCGTTCGTTTACACATTGTTTTTACGTTCTGTTGGCATTTATAGGTGATTCCCATATACTGATAGCATTCTTTTGTAAAATAGTACTGTTCTTCACACGAAAATAGCCACATTTTGACGTAGACTTTATTGAATGACACTATGTCGGAAGCCGCAGTTTCTACAAGAAATAAACTATTTGTGTAGATGACATTACCCCCCGACTACCCCATATTCTTCATTGTAGAGATATTTTGACGCATTCAGCATGAAACACTAATCATTACGACCAATATGCTAAGTGTGTCGCAGTCGGATTAAATGACGCGGACACCAACATAACTAGCCAGGAAATGAGAATTCCCATCAATCCAGAAAACATATAACAAAATTTTATTAAACATTATTGACAAAAGAGTGTGCCGAGCGAAATTTCAACCAACATGCCGGATAAGTCCAGCCATTACTGTTCATTCATGTATAGTAGCATACGCATAGAGGACAAATTGAAAGTCGAGGGAGTGCAGAGGTACTTCACGTTAAAATTATTCGGAACTGAAAATGGTACGAACTACTCCACTAGATGTGATACCCTAGGACTAGAAACACTTTGGCTAAGACGCCTGAGACTAAACTTGACACTTTACTATAAGCTTCTAAACCACTTAGTTTTTACCTCTACTAATGGCACTCGGCTTTCAGAGGACAATGGCTACAAACTAAGACACACTAAGGGTACAGTAGCTATCGAACAATGTAAAACAGCCACCAGGCAAAAGTTTTACTTGATTAGGTATGCACAGATATGGAATAAACTGCCAATGGAAATGCGTCAAGCAAGTACATTGGCCTCCTTCAAAAAGGTGCTTAATGACAAACTACGAGAGTTTGCAAACGATAGTAGTTCTAGTTCCTATCTGAGAGCCTCCGAAATCATAGGTCCATTTAATGTATAAGCTTAAATACTACACCTGCTGTTTTTTGCCTATATTTATAATTCTAGATAAAACATTAACGGTTAAGATACGTATCCCATTATGGGTAAATTTTATTTTGATAGAGTCTCACAGTGTTATACAGTAATATTTACTGATGACGTTTCGAGCACAATTTATTGCTCATAATCATATCAAGGTAATCACACGACTTCCTAAATTCATTTATATAGTTCCATTATTTTTCACTTGATTTCCACTTGATTTGATTGGTAGTGTTATTTTCCATATTTCGGGTATTAGTGATGATTCATTCCTATTGCACGTGTTGGGTGTAGATTCGATGAACAAAGATTCAGTAATCAACCTCTCTCTCCACCTACCTAGATTACTTTTTAGAATTTTAACCCTCTCCCACCCTATTGTGTGGTTGTGTGTTAATGCATGCATTGCAATTGCCGAGCTTTTTTCTAAATTACTTATCTTTTCTGGGTCAACCATTCTTATCTTAGCTAAATTCTTATGTTCTGACAATCTGACTATTCCTGACCTACTAGTTTGACCTATGTAGTTGACCTCACAGTCATTGCAGGGTATTTTGTAAATTATATTATTTTGTCTAATTGGGTCCACTGGGTCCTTTAACCTACAGAGCTTGTCCCTGAGTGAGTTTGTAGGTTTAAATGCCACCCTAATTCCTGCTTTATTTAGAATCCTACGTAGGGTCTCAGATGTCCCCTCTTTATATGGTATAACTGTCGATGACTTATATTCTCTCTTATTTATGTTATCATTGCTAGTTCCACAATTATTTTTATTTTTATTTTGTTTCTGGCCTTTAGTTATCTTCCTAATGAATTTTAAAGGATAATTATTCAACACCAACGCTTCTTCTATCTGTTTTATCTCGTCGTTTAGGTCTTTTTTTGTGCTACTTAGTGCTATGGCTCGGTTTGTTAGACACTTAACTAAGCCTGCCTTAACAGTTAACGGATGCGACGAATTAAAATCTAAATATCTATTAGAATGCGTTGGTTTTCTATACACACTAGTGTGAAGTTTACCTTCTTCTATTCGTTTTATTTTACAATCTAGCATAGCCAACTCTCCTTGTTCATCTTCCGATTCAAATGTGAATTTTATCCCCTCTACTAGTGAGTTTATGTGTGTCAAGAAGCTAGAGATATGTTCTGTTTTTAACACTGTGAAAGTGTCATCCACATATCTCCACCATATTTTTGGAGTAGGATTAAACGTATTAAGTGCCATATTTTCCCAGCTATCCATAAATATATCTGCTACGATAGGGGATATTGGTGATCCCATTGCTACACCTTCAGTTTGTCTATATATTTTGCCTTGGAATCTAAAGATAGTAGATGTGAGGCATAGCTGAACCCCTAAAATAATTTCTTCAATGGACAGCTTTGTCCTATGATTATATATAAAGAGGGGACATCTGAGACCCTACGTAGGATTCTAAATAAAGCAGGAATTAGGGTGGCATTTAAACCTACAAACTCACTCAGGGACAAGCTCTGTAGGTTAAAGGACCCAGTGGACCCAATTAGACAAAATAATATAATTTACAAAATACCCTGCAATGACTGTGAGGTCAACTACATAGGTCAAACTAGTAGGTCAGGAATAGTCAGATTGTCAGAACATAAGAATTTAGCTAAGATAAGAATGGTTGACCCAGAAAAGATAAGTAATTTAGAAAAAAGCTCGGCAATTGCAATGCATGCATTAACACACAACCACACAATAGGGTGGGAGAGGGTTAAAATTCTAAAAAGTAATCTAGGTAGGTGGAGAGAGAGGTTGATTACTGAATCTTTGTTCATCGAATCTACACCCAACACGTGCAATAGGAATGAATCATCACTAATACCCGAAATATGGAAAATAACACTACCAATCAAATCAAGTGGAAATCAAGTGAAAAATAATGGAACTATATAAATGAATTTAGGAAGTCGTGTGATTACCTTGATATGATTATGAGCAATAAATTGTGCTCGAAACGTCATCAGTAAATATTACTGTATAACACTGTGAGACTCTATCAAAATAAAATTTACCCATAATGGAATTACACTCTACCACAGTGCCCAAGTATTATTCTTATATCCAAGATACGTATCCTCAAACAGACAAGAAATCTCGTTTGTATAACTACTACCCAACACAGTAAGTGGAATAAAATGGACATAAACCGACAACATGAAAAAGGTATAACTCACCACAACATCACATGGACAGATGAACGCTCGTTGGGCACCATATATCCCTCACCAACTGCAACCCACGTTTCCTTAGATAATGTGATGAACTTATATCCATAATGTTGCTGAGCAGTTAATATTCTCAACTCCTGTCGGAACAGCTGAATTTCATAAACCTTCCTCACGCTAAGAAAATACCCACAAGCAGTAGAAATCCATTAATTAATGCGTCCGAAGCTTATGTACTTACTCCCAACAATGACATTGCAGATCAAATGAGATAAACATATCACTGATTTCAAAATAACACATCAATGAACTATAATTCGAGGACTCTGCACACAACAAAGTTATGTATGAATATTTACTTCAAGCTTTATTTTTTTTCCCAGGCACTTATAATCCATCCACCAAAGACCTGGTTTTTTTGTTAATGCGAAGACAATACTCCTGTATTTCCTGTTGTGTTGCACTCACTGACAATCTAGCAGATTTTTCCAACTTTGCACAGAAATGATTGTATATGAGTGAAAAGGCTGTTTTATTCTACTGGGATTAACATTTATCAAGTGTATGTATAATCTCCAGTGAACATGTAAAGCATATCTTGCTACTACCTGTAAATTGTGATTGAATTATATGGTTCTATTTCTGTAACAACTTGATGATGCCTGTAAACTGGCGTCCCTCATGTACTGTACTATGAGAATAAATTTATTTATTTATTTATTTATATAACTATTAAGTTAAAAGAACACAACTTCCTATAATTAAATAGACTCAAGACTGAAACGTAAGCCAACTTCGATCAGAATAAACCGATCTGAAGTTAATCTATAGACGTAGGGAGCGTATAACACGACTAAAGCTAAAATTAAACAAGAGCGTTGAAAATTCATTCCCTTTTCAAGGTTCTATTTCCACGGGAATGAACAGCTTTTGACTGAAAGTCGTTCGTCATGAATGTAATTCTCCAGGCATCTCAATAGCCTTACTCACAATCACGACTTTATTTCTTCACAGGACTTCACAGAAATCAGCCGACTGACTAAATGCTTCATCATGGATAAGATTTTATTTTGATAAATCAAACAGTGTTGTACAGTTAATATAACTCTACAACGCTTTGTGATTTATCAAAATAAAATCTTATCCATAATGAAGTTATACTCTACCACAGTGCCCAAGTTTTCTACTTATATTAAGTAGATGCTTCATTCACTCATCTGGAAACAAAGTGAGTACTACCGTACACTTGTATTTAGAAAAGAACTCTACAATACCACAAAAAAGCATATATATTGGGTGGATACTCGCCATACTATGTATCACACGGGAAAATACTCTGTCAATAAACACTGATAATTAGCCTTGGACATATTGAACGATATTGTTTTAATGCTCGGACATCCGCATCGTTATCTGCACTTTACGTTGCTGTCATCCGGACTCCACTTCCAAGTTTTTATGTAAGTTGTTGAGTGGTGGTTTGGGTATGCAAAATTGGTCGGAATTACTAATCAGTGTGTCTTTAGACTGGGTGCCCATCCTGTTTCATGGTTGAAGGCTGTAATCATCCACAGGCAGATGGTAGTTGGTGTCACCGAAAATGGCTATCAACATCAATCGAGAGGTTGAAGATACCTTTTACAGGTACAAGATGCCGAAGCTTGCTGCCAAGGTAAAGCTAGATATGACAACCACAAGCCATAACCTTGTAGGTGGAGGGGAAAGGAAATGGTATAAAAACGGTCATCGTTAATGTCTCGGACATAGCGAAGGCATTGTACCGGAAACCCATATGTATGTCGCAAAGTCTACTAACTTGATGGCTTTAGATCTCACGAAGTTCTTTGGATGCGAGCTAGGGGCACAGATCCACGTAGACGAGAAGAATGAACGCTATATTGTCAATGGAGCCCACCAAGCAGATAAGCTGCAAGAACTACTAGATGGTTTCATTAAGAAGTTTGTTTTGTGTCAAAGTTGTGGGAATCCGGAGACCACTATGGTTAGTTCTTCCGCTTAGTAATCACTGACGCTTTTATAGCATGTTAACAAAAGAGGCGGTACGGTTGCTACCACTTGCAAAGCGTGTGGCAGTCAGGGACAGCTAGATGTCACCCACAGACTGACTCAGTTCATTGTGAAAAATCCTCCAGAGCCAGAAGTTACTTCAGCCAAGGCAAAGCAAAAGAAGGGGAAAAAGACAAAAGGAGAGAATGAAAAGACTTCAGGTAACAGTGCTAGGTTAACCATTACGTTTTCAGACGACGACAACGAGGGCAACGCCGGTGGTGGTGATGAGAACAACCGCAACAGTCCAGTTAACGCTGACGAAGAAGATGAGGATGAAGACTGGCTGGAAGACACTACCGAGGAGGCACGACGTCAGAGGATGAGCACCTTGTCAGCTATGGCGAAGTCGCTAGCTCTGTGTGACGATGTAGAACGCTCTGAAACTGAGAGAGCTGATATTTTCTTCAAACATTTGTCCCAAATGAACCAGTCTGGCGAAGTCCTGTCACGTCGTAAAGAGCTAAAGTTGGAGGCTGATCGTCTTAGTCTCGGTCCACGTGCTGTGTTGGTTATTGCTGAAGTGCTGTTCAACAACCCTTCTACCATACTAGGTGATATTAAGAAGTATTCTCCACTACTACTACTCTTCACGCGGTCTGGTGAAGATCAGAAACGAGCTCAGATGTACACGTGGGGTGCAATGGCAAAGCTCATCGAGAGGCACGCAGATCAAAATCTGATCAGCAAAGCATGTCATCTCCTGAAAGCTTTGTATGATAACGACATTATCGAAGGGGATGTTATTCTAGCATGGTACGACAAAGGGGTAAGTCGCATACTTGTGTTATCTGACAAACATTTCAGCCATCTAAAAAGTTCGTATCTCGTGAATTGAGTGCTAAGATTCTATCTCGCTGCGCACCCATGGTGACATGGCTGAGACAAGCAGAGGAGGAAGAGTCAGAAAGTTCCGACGAGGAGACTGAGACCAGTAGCCCAAAGGTATGTGTTTTCCCTTATTTGCTGATGTCTTTAGGTGCCCCAACCAACTAATGGTGTGAATGGCACAAGTGCCGTTGCTACCAACGGGACAGACGCCGAAGAAGACGATGTTGACATCGATGCTATTTAAACCCTGCTTCCGTGTTGCCGCATAGTTTTAATTGACCTGCCCTCTGTGGCTTCGGCTTTTCTTTTATGTTTTCACTGGGTTTATTCGAATAAATGTACTTCATAATCCCATGATTGTCATTTTGCCCTTTGGTAAATAGCTTGAGCTGTGTTGTTCGGTTCGTTTGTGTAGGAGTTATTGCTGTATGTATCAAGTGTCAGATGAGTGCTCATACTCAGACGGGTTAATTGCGTGCTAAGAGTGGTGTGTTTCTTGTGATCGCTCGCCACTTCTTCTGACGTTCTCGACGGATTTGATTAGTTATTTTTTTAATCACATGGGAACTTGAGGTATACGTAAGCTCCGAACGAGTTGGTCGCTCACAAAACCTAGATTTTTGCTGTTGCCGTATTGAGCACGGAAATTATGGGTGGTTGTATGTGCCGTTAATATCTTCGTCGACCTAGGCATTAGTTCCTAATGTCCCGTGAAGCTGATGTGTTACTTTTGTTATTCCACAGCGTGTATACCCCAAGGTAACAAATAGCAAGATCCCTGTCATTTTTATTTGTTCTTGGTGGAGCTGCTCTAGGAGTCCTCCAATGCCTACCACGCCTGAAGAACTCCACTTTATTATCTAACGTCCGTGCTTGTTTCTCGCCAGTAGCTACGTTTCCCACCATAAATATTGTGAAATTTACATAACATTATGACACACTCATTTGATGGCCCAAGGCTCTACTAAGTTTGGTTTTCTCCTCTAACTCTTCTTTGTTTCCTGTTGAGTGTCGACGTTATCCTGACCTGAGAAGGTTCAGTCTTTGTTTGGAATTTGTAGGTCCAGTGTACATGTAGGAGATCTTGACGCACTTAGGAAGCCATGGGATGCTCCACATCAAGATAGCTGTGTAAAACACTGAAATAGAACAGACGAGAGACAACATGCGAGCACTCAATGGCGCTATTCGGAACAAGCAGAAAGTAGGAGATCGGAGCATGTTCAACTATGGAAGTGAAATGTAGTTTGTCAGGATAGCACAGCCCTCTGTCACTGTTCTTTATTCCTAAATTACACGCACCTGACCGAATGGTTACTGACTCTCATTGAGATCCTTGGGGGTATGTACTTACACTGTATATTTGGTCTAGTATATGCAGGGTCATTGATGTTGGGTTGGAGTAAGTAGCGCTCTTTAACAAAGCAGTTGTAGTTTGTATACTGTATACTGTATCGATGACCCTAGCCACGTCATCGATGTCTGAGTAATGGTCGCTCTTCTCTTGTGGTGGAAGACCCTTGCAGTCCAGGAGCTTTAGAGCCCCATTGAGAGTGACTATGGCTTCCGTTATACGAAACTTAGTCTTACTACAGCAGTCATTGCACAGCCAGTTCGCCAACGCTTGTATGCTGCAGGAGTTGGGCTTGTGCACCTACTATGAAACCACCTCTTGCAGTTATCACACTGTATTCCTCCTTCAACCGGAAATTGGCACATCACTATTGCACAGCGCTTCTTTTTGACAAGCATGCTTTTCAGAATGAATTGGGACAGAGAGATTCAAATAGGACATTAATAATAAATAAATAATATTATCTTCTCATTTTGTACATGACGGACGCCAGTTTACGGGCATCATCAATATGATAAATTACATATACGATTAGTAAACATATTTAATAATAGTAATTTAATAAAATACATTTTTTCCTACCTGTGTAGGACACACCAATTGTACAGGCATGGATAAGTATCATTTAAATTACATAAATTTGGTTGATGGTAAAATTATAAGGTTGCAGTCATTTTGTCTATGGGAACAATATGATAACTAGTCATTCAATGGAGCACATCAAGAAATATAGAAGTGTTGTCTTCGCATTAAGAAAAAACCCAAGTATATTTTGGATGGATTACAAATACTTGGAAAAAAATAAAGCTTGAAGTAATTCCTCCATATAAATAAATAAATAAATTTATTCTCATAGTACAGTACATGAGGGACGCCAGTTTACAGGCATCATCAAGTTGTTACAGAAATAGAACCATATAATTCAATCACAATTTACAGGTAGTAGCAAGATATGCTTTACATGTTCACTGGAGATTATACATACACTTGATAAATGTTAATCCCAGTAGAATAAAACAGCCTTTTCACTCATATACAATCATTTCTGTGCAAAGTTGGAAAAATCTGCTAGATTGTCAGTGAGTGCAACACAACAGGAAATACAGGAGTATTGTCTTCGCATTAACAAAAAACCAGGTCTTTGGTGGATGGATTATAAGTGCCTGGGAAAAAAATAAAGCTTGAAGTAAATATTCATACATAACTTTGTTGTGTGCAGAGTCCTCGAATTATAGTTCATTGATGTGTTATTTTGAAATCAGTGATATGTTTATCTCATTTGATCTGCAATGTCATTGTTGGGAGTAAGTACATAAGCTTCGGACGCATTAATTAATGGATTTCTACTGCTTGTGGGTATTTTCTTAGCGTGAGGAAGGTTTATGAAATTCAGCTGTTCCGACAGGAGTTGAGAATATTAACTGCTCAGCAACATTATGGATATAAGTTCATCACATTATCTAAGGAAACGTGGGTTGCAGTTGGTGAGGGATATATGGTGCCCAACGAGCGTTCATCTGTCCATGTGATGTTGTGGTGAGTTATACCTTTTTCATGTTGTCGGTTTATGTCCATTTTATTCCACTTACTGTGTTGGGTAGTAGTTTTACAAACGAGATTTCTTGTCTGTTTGAGGATACGTATCTTAACCGTTAATGTTTTATCTAGAATTATAAATATAGGCAAAAAACAGCAGGTGTAGTATTTAAGCTTATACATTAAATGGACCTATGATTTCGGAGGCTCTCAGATAGGAACTAGAACTACTATCGTTTGCAAACTCTCGTAGTTTGTCATTAAGCACCTTTTTGAAGGAGGCCAATGTACTTGCTTGACGCATTTCCATTGGCAGTTTATTCCATATCTGTGCATACCTAATCAAGTAAAACTTTTGCCTGGTGGCTGTTTTACATTGTTCGATAGCTACTGTACCCTTAGTGTGTCTTAGTTTGTAGCCATTGTCATCTGAAAGCCGAGTGCCTTTAGTAGAGGTAAAAACTAAGTGGTTTAGAAGCTTATAGTAAAGTGTCAAGTTTAGTCTCAGGCGTCTTAGCCAAAGTGTTTCTAGTCCTAGGGTATCACATCTAGTGGAGTAGTTCGTACCATTTTCAGTTCCGAATAATTTTAACGTGAAGTACCTCTGCACTCCCTCGACTTTCAATTTGTCCTCTATGCGTATGCTACTATACATGAATGAACAGTAATGGCTGGACTTATCCGGCATGTTGGTTGAAATTTCGCTCGGCACACTCTTTTGTCAATAATGTTTAATAAAATTTTGTTATATGTTTTCTGGATTGATGGGAATTCTCATTTCCTGGCTAGTTATGTTGGTGTCCGCGTCATTTAATCCGACTGCGACACACTTAGCATATTGGTCGTAATGATTAGTGTTTCATGCTGAATGCGTCAAAATATCTCTACAATGAAGAATATGGGGTAGTCGGGGGGTAATGTCATCTACACAAATAGTTTATTTCTTGTAGAAACTGCGGCTTCCGACATAGTGTCATTCAATAAAGTCTACGTCAAAATGTGGCTATTTTCGTGTGAAGAACAGTACTATTTTACAAAAGAATGCTATCAGTATATGGGAATCACCTATAAATGCCAACAGAACGTAAAAACAATGTGTAAACGAACGGCTACGGAACTGCAATCCAACAAAACCGACTAACATGGACGAAAATGACCTTTGAGCGTCTCATTCCATCAATGACCTTGAGCATGCGGGATAATTTCAGCCACAGTAATCAAATAAAGGACGCACACAAACCTTGTACAACAGAATTCTAGACTCATTTCTGTAGAAGTTCCTGAGTAGAAAGCCGATAAGTCTGCGTGACTTTGACACTTGTTTGGAGATATGTTCAGAAAATGATAAGTTATGTGAATATTTCAGCCCTAGGTCCAGTACAGATTCCAGTCGTTGAAGTGCATGGCCTTGAATTGTCAGGTCAAGTTCTAAATTGTTGCAACCTATGCAGAGCCAGCCACATTTTTCGACATTAAATTGGAGTTGCCAGGCGTCACACCATCTATCCATTTTTTCTAATTCTTGCTGTATGGCGTTTACTGTTATTCCAATATCTGTGTTCTTGCATTTATACGTCACTTTTAAGTCATCTGCATATAGTATTGGTTTACCTACACTAAAGCATTCACAGATACTGTTTATATATATTATGAATAAGAGTGGGCCTAATACACTTCCCTGGATTACACCACTACTTACTGGTTTAGGCCTTGAGATTATCGATATAAGTATAAAACTTGGGCACTGTGGTAGAGTGTAATTCCATAATGGATAAGATTTTATTTTGATAAATCACATAGTGTAGTACAGTTATATTAACTGCTTGATATGATTATGAGCAATAGTTTGTGCTCGAAACGTCATCAGTTAATATAACTGTACTACACTGTGTGATTTATCAAAATAAAATCTTATCCATTATGGAACTTGAGATTATCGAGCCAACTTTCGTTGTCTGACTTCGGCCACACAGAGAAATGATTTTATCCAGCTCAGGAGAGGATCACATATCCCTAGTGAGCATAACCTGCTGACTAGCAGATTATGGGGAACTCTGTCGAAGGCTTTTGTTATATCGAAATATAGTACAATTACTAGTTCTCTGTTGTCCCTACTTCGTGTAACTTCATTGAAAAAGTCTATGTGACAGGTCACACATGATCTTTTTTAAGAAATCCGTGTTGTGATGGATTGATAAGTTCATGTTCTAGTAAGTTGTCTGACACTTGGTCTTTAACCACTTTCTCCATTATTCGGGATATTACCGGTGTTATATTGATAGGTCGATAGTTGCATACACTGGTTTTGGCCCCTGCTTTGTGCTTAGGTAATATGTATGTGGTTTTCCACACTT